AATTAAAAACCTCTCAATGCCACCATACTCATATTAGTGTACTTTGATAAAATCTGGAAGACTTTACTGTAAGAGGTTTTTAAGTACAAATATAAAAAAAAGTCTGTTGTTTTTTATTTACTCCAGTGGCTCATCTTTAATTTAGCAACTGTAGTAAAAGAAAAATGCCTAGGAAAAATATTGTTCTTTGTTAAATGACGTTTAGAAATATATTAAGGGAAGTTTATGCAAACTGAACACTGTTGTACGAGTCACTGTTAGCGCACGCTAGCAGAGATGTAGAATAAAAGAAAATATAATGCTGAAATTAAAAATATAAAAATGACTGCTCTAAGAGTTAATATATCAAATAAAAATCTTTACATGTCACACTACAAGATTTATACATGTAATCTGATAAAATCATCTTAAATATTTTCCTTATAAAGGTAAACAACTCATTTGTTACATAAAAGGCAGTATGAAGAGTCATTCAATGCATATGCTTGCCTTTATCTTTAAGGAGCTTATACACACAGATGCCAGTATAAACCCTGATGGACCACAAAGGGAGAATATTACACAATTGCATAAATGAAAAAAATACACTAGAACTCACAAAATATAACATATTAGTTCTAAGTTGTATGGCTTTAAACCACCTCCCTTTGAACACTTGTAAACTTTCCATATAATAATGGACTTGATTGCTCATTTACTGCAATGTTAGGCAGCCTGTTGTGATAGTCAGATGCTAACAATTCATACCTCATCATAAAAGCAAAGGCAATTTGACCTAAACTGTCAATAATATAAGATACATAAAAAATATTAAAAAATTGCTATGAATGCACTACTAGTCATCGGAAAATTATCCTTTAACCAAGATCCAAGACACATATGATTATCATAACCTGTTAAATTCCCAAAAACATGAAAAAGTTTATTAATGCAAAAACACTACATTAAAAATGCTATCAAATTTCTTCTGTGGTGTGTGTATGTGCCTGTGTGTTTTGGTGGTGAACACTGCAAAGAAAAGATGGTTTATTAAAGGTTCTAACAAACTTGAGAAAGCCATCTAAAAACACTATCAGTCTACAGCACACATGCTTTTGAAATTAAATGCAAAGGGGGTTTTCTTAGCATCTTGTTACTTTGAAAAATCCAATTTCCTCTAATATTTTAATTAGGCTACAAATTTAGAATCTCATTAGAAATAAATGGTTATGCATATATTTAAAATGGGCTTAACTACTCACAGAAATCATCCATCTTACTTTTTGGCTATGCATTCAAGTTTTAAGCAGGAGGATTTTAATATTTTTTAATATATTTGAAGGTTTGTACTCAGCAGTAGAAAAGCAGATACTTTTTTCTTTACCCTACCTAAAGAAGCCATACCTCTTCCTCCCCAAAGTAACTTTTTCCATTTCTTTGGCAGGTACTGCCTTTTTTTTTTTTTTTTTTAAAGTATTTTCACTAATTCTTCTTACACTATAAAGGAGAAACAAAGTTCCAATTAGGCACTCATCCTTTTTAACACCTTTGTTGTGGATTATTCTCAAGTAACCAGGCGAATAATCTATCTATTCAAAAGTAGCCTTAGAGACTAGGCTTGTATAATAGCTCCAGATGGTTGGTAGCAGAAGAGTGTACGGAGTTGGCACCACCTCAAAGAGGAAAAGATAGCTGGAGTAGATATAGATGGATAGTTGGGACTCACAAATAATGAAACTGTAATAAAGGTATTACAGGCCACAAACCCTTATTCATGCCAGGTTCACATTAGGGTAAGCATGCTGGGAGGGAAAGAAAGTTCTTAAGACATGTAGATGCTTGACTGAGTAACAAAAAATACACTCTGAAAATATGAAGAAAAAAATTTTTTGAAGATCTACTTTTTCTCTGCAACAAAGAAGATGGGCTACGTCACTTACTTTATCATATAAATCTGTTAGCCATTTCTCTGAGAAAGAGTGTATTTGGATCACACTCTCTCTCCCTACCAACAACTGCTAGACTATTAGCTGAGAATCACATTTTTCAGACCTGTTTCATATGCAACATATTTTAGATTTTTCAGATCTGTTTCAAATGCAACAGGCTACCTCTCTCCTTCACACCTCAAATATCTCATTCATAAGTTTCTGTATCTTCCCTTAATAGCTTGTACAATCCTATCAGAGTTGTTTTTTAGGGGGGTCAGGATATTTCACAAGTAAGACACAGTGATTTATTTTTCTTCACCCCAAAAATGGGAATATTAGTACCTACTTCAAATGGTTATTAAGAAGACTAAATGAAAAAAAAAAAAAGAAGAAGACTAAATGAAATAATCATTTTAAAGTGATTAGCACGTTGTCTGGCATGCAAGTGTTCAATGACTAAGACATTATCACCAAGACAATTTTTGTTGACAAATTATTTGACAGAATAATCTCAGAAGGGTTAAAGTTGAATAAGTACTAAAATTTCTATGTTCAGTATCTGGCATGTATCCAATAAATATGGTTTGAAACTATACATTCCTCTCAAAGGTGATTACAGGACTATGTTCTTCAGCAGTGATCAGACTTACACACAAATCCACTTCAACCTTCTGCCACCTCCTACCTAAACACCAGACTTACCTCGTTTCCAGAATTTTATACTGAAATCATTCAGGCATGCTGGGAATAAAAATATTAATCTAAAAGGCTCTTTAAAGAAATAAGGTAATATAACAGTTTCTTTTGGATTTATCTTTCTTACGGAACTCTTTAGGGGAACAAATGCAGCAAGTACCTACAAGTACCTACTTGATATGTTCTTTAATACAAAAATTTCTATTACAGTTTTTGTGTTAGACTTTATGAGCTTTTTTGTGTTTGGTTTCTATTTTATTCTTTTAAATATGCAGAATAAAACAAAGATCATTAAAGGGTAAGTACAATTTATTTCAACAAAAAGCTTCTTTTACTCTATGGCAAGTAACAGGAACAGAAAATAATTCTATATATGCACTGTGAAACTCTTCTGTAGCACAACACTACTGCAGCTAAAACTGCTTGCTGAGACTTTTTAATCACTAGTGTACAACTGGACCTATGTGCTGCCAGAGGTGCTGAATGAAGATCTGGACAAAGGAACTGGACAGCATGATGTGGGCAGGGGGTATAGGAACAGGATGGGAGTGAAGAGCTCTGCTCATCTGGGTTCGTCAGTGGGGCCTACCACTCACTGAGGGCCAGGGGTTCTCAGGTTTACAGGGTCTGCAGTGGTACAGGCCCGCTTTGTGGCCAAGCTAGTTCTAAGATGTGGTTTGAGAGCATTTTGTCTATTCCTTTAGCTCTCCCAGTGTGTCTGGAATTATGTTGCTTAACTCTTCAGTAAATCACCTTTTGCTTTAACAAGCTGATTTGGACTTTGTTGTCTAAAACTAAGAACCCTGACCAATAACCCCAAAAATAAAGAACATTTCAAAAAAACTCAGTAAACTCCTCTGTCTACCTAAAGCTAAAAAATATCCACAGCTAAAAACAGCTTTTCAAGTCTTCACTACAGTTTTACATTTGCTCTCCTCTGATTCATGTGAAGGGCACGGAAAGATGACCTAAAATAATATTACTTAATAATACTGGTAATATGCCAATTTCTATCTAAGAATTCCCTTATAGATCAACTGTCATTAATCAAGACATCTTTTTTTAACTCTCAAGGATTACTAACATCAAACACAGAGCTTAACTCTAAGACTTAAAACCTTTAGTCTGCAATTTCAATTGAACAAATTATTTCAGTTACTATAAAGGACAACTGGAAAATCCGGGAGAAATGAATGGGAAGAATAAAATTTTGTTTTTATCAGCTAAACAAATATAATAGGTTTCCCCAAATAAAATAAAAATAAAATAAAAAATCTGGGATCTAGATAGCTACTTTTTAAAAACTGTAAAAACAATTTCAATGAAAAGAATTCCTCAAAATATCAAAGCACACCGTTACACTCACTTGATATAAAATAATTATTAGATCAAAATGAACAGAAACAATTTTTAAGAAGTCATAAAATCTTTTGTATGTCTATCTTTTAAAAAGTCAGGTTCAAGAGTCAAAGTCAACATGACTATAATCTGTTTCACACAGTTATAGATTATACAGTTTTCAGTAAAATTTTAATTTTGAAGGTACAATTAGTATTTCAAAAACTATACAATTAATTTTTAATATAAATATTTGTATCAATACCACTTACATAAAATCATACTCTCTTAAGTAAAGGCTCACATTTTATTAACATTCTGAGTCTCCTGGTAAAAAATATTGTTATCTTAGTATTAATAAACAGTTAGAAAATATTTAAGAAAAAAATTAATATATTTTAATAACCTAACATTTCTGGCTACTTTGTAGGTGCTTCCACATATATTAATTCATTAATCTGTGTAACTAGTCTACAAGATAGAAATTATTACTATTTCTCTTAAAGCAGTTGATTAGTCTGAGGTATAGATTACCTAGGTAACTTGAGCAAAGTAAGGAACTAGTGAGTGCCAGAACCAAATGGGAATCCAGACTAACTTTTCTAATGCCCATTACACCAGGATGCTTCTTTAAAGAAAGGTAAATCATTTCTTTCTTATATTTTACAGAGGAATATAAAATATTATACCAAACGAACATATTTTACTTCCATCTATATTGTGTTAAGAGTTATCAGGAGGTGTAGGACATGAACTTGTCTATGAAGATAAAGACGAGTACTCTCAATTAGTTACATGAGAGGCAATAAGGAAGACTCTATAAAGAAAAATCATGGCAAACATGGTGTCCTAGTACTTTCTCCTCTCAACTAAACTAACTTTTCTGAAGTCTACTGACCCATCAAAACAGATCTGTTCAATAGCCTAACAAAGGCAAAGATAGACTGTCGAAGGCAATAGTCTTTTTCATTCATCACAGGTCCGGTAATTAATTCATTAGCCTGCCCATCAACTGCACTGCTAGTGAGCTTTGTGAAAGGAGATGAAACCGCTTACCGTGCACATGGATGTCTTTGTAATTTGCAGGGTAAAATCTGAAGAAAACTCCAAAGCTGAGACAGATGTTGTATGGCAATCTATTTGCTACCCATTAAGAAAGAGTGGAAGGAAGAATTTAGTAAAAATAGTGAAAACAAACCCAAAACCAAACAGATAAATATTTCTTATGCAAAAAGGATTACTGTAAACCAATGGTTTGCAAAGTTTAATCATTCGAACCTCACTTCTGGGGTTGGTTTTTTTTTTTCCCCCTCTTCTTCTTTTCTGGGGTTGTTTTCAAATTTAAAGGCTACTAGCACTATCATTTAATTTTTGTATAAACCAAATGAGTATTTTTTTTACTTAGACTTCTTGTAAGAACACTATATATCAAATCATGGCTCTGATGTGCTAGAGTTTTTCTGAGATACACTAAAACATCTTCAAATAAAATTCTTTTCCTGTTTTCCAACTAAAATAATTTTGTATACCATTAGTGGTACACATTTGCTATAAATTATACATAAGAGTCAACATTTTTATAGAAAATGCCAACTTGAAAACATAGGCTAATGAAAAGGATAAGGTATTTTAGAATTCTTTTTTGTAACTGCATTTGAAGGAAAGTTTGTTAGATATTAGGAAAAACCGTAACAGATAAAATCAAAAGCCAAGCCAAGGAAGAAGATTCAACTCAGGAAAACAATGGCCAAAGAGCCTTATCTTCCTGTTCTGCCCTGGTTCAATTCCTTCATTTCACTTTGGATAGCAGGGAAGTCATAAAGGCCTGACTTGCCATGAGTAGATTATGACACAGCATACACAATTCATAGGACTATGTACTTGAGCCATTACCCTCTTTTAAATAGCTTGAAAAAATTTTAAACAAGTTACAGTGTGGCTGAATTTTATTTATAGAGCATTGTGGAACATGGAACAAAATATATTTACCCAAGCAAACAAGTAAATAAATACTGATTAATGTTTAAAAAAAAGAGAAAGAGTATGTGTACTTTTTGAACATCTTTGTTATTAGTCTAAAATCTTTTATTTCAACTATTTATTCATAGAAGTTTTGGGCATTAAACAAAGAGAGAGCACTATAGAGAAAAATAGTCCCTCCCCCAACTACCCTCCTCTTTGTGCACAGCCTTGAGGCTGAGTTGGCTGGAACTGTACACTCCTACCCAGAATCAAGGAATGCAAATAAATCTCTTATTATCAGTGTACCACAGGATTCAACAGTACTATAATCATTAACCAGGTTACAGTTTTTTCTTAAAAGCTAAATGCAATTTTAATCAGCTTGCTCTTGTTGAGGAACTTTTTAAGTTTATTATAATATGCCAACTTTAAATATTTTATCTATGAAGAAAATTAACAAATATTTATTGAATATCCATTCTATGCAGAGAACAATTATTGATGCTATGAAAGTGTGACTACAAATATCAGACAATGCTCTGAATCTAAAACTGAACAAACTATATCTAATTAAAACAGACAAATTAAGGATTTTTTAAGAAAAGCAATGACTTTTCACTGCAAAGTTATTATTTAACCTATGTAAATTTGACACAGCAAAATTAACAATAAAACTAAAGAGTAACATGATGAACGGTAAGAATTTAAAACACAAAAGGAATTAACTGGGAAATCTCAACAGAGTAGGGCTTCAGCTTCATAGGCAAATTCAATGTAATTACTTAATCTGAAAAGCTGGAAGAGATTTGAACGTGAGATGTTAAACTGCATAGAACATATGATATGAATGAATAATCTCACTATAAATGAAAAACTAGAATAAGGCCATGGAGGTGGTGATGAAGCATAAATGATAATACAGCAGGACTTTTCACCTTCAAACCCCTCAGAGTAAGGAACTGTGATATACAAAAAGATAAGTGATTCCAATGGATGATACAGTCAACTGGTAAATACTGTAACCTCAAGGTATATTAGACTGGTTAATATAGGAAGGATAACCACTGTTTTGAAAGCCCATATATAATATCAATATGTTAATTTCAAATACTGAACTCATAAATGAAAACTGATAAAAATGGCAATTCTGTTAAAATACAGTTGGTAAAAACACCTACCTTAATACTACAAGCATCTGAAATAAGAGTGTCTGGATCTAAAACTTCCACAACAGCTTCTGGAATAACTGCTTTCTTCATACAGGACATGTTGAAGCCATATACATTATCCCAAAAAGCAATTCTATCGGCATGTTTATTCATATCACTTACTGCCACAAGGCTGATAGTGCAAATATCAGGGTAGACTGTAACAGATAAAATTCCCAACAATTTATCATTATCTCCCTTTGTGGCAAAATACACTTTTTTTAAAAGGCTAAATACAAATCCCCAAATCATCAGTATGAATTATTAGCAATTGATTACTAGTAGTGGGGAATTAACACAGATATAGATCAGGGAAAATAACCAAGTTCCATCTTGTAGCCTCTTTAAAAAAAAAAAAGATTTCCATTACAGTGATGGCAAGACTAAAATAAGGATTTCAACAATGGGCTCTTATTACAATAATTAAAAACAAGAGAGCATAATCAAATAAACTGGAAATGAAGATATTTGTTAATATTAAACTTATAATATGCTAACTTTACAAAGATACTAAATCTTTATACATTACTCTGAAACATGTAGAAAGAGACAAATCATTTAAAAAGGGGCAATTACTGGTGATGTAATAAATAGTAAGAAAGGGGATGTAGAAGATACTGAGGGAGCGCATAGCAAAAAAAGCTAATTCAGATATGGCTATAGTAGGGGTGCAGGATAGTATATAAGAACTGAAGACCACATGAATTAGGAGCAGGGAGGGAGTGTTCTAGGCAGAGTGAGCAGCGTGCATATGGGGTCACAATTAATATACACTCCAATTTAAGAGAATGAGATATAAGACTACAAAGGTAAGCAGGGAGGAAAGAAAACACGGCTGGATTGACCATGTCAGTAAACTGGATTTTATTCTAAGACTAACAACAAGCCTGTGAACAATCTTACACAGGGTTACAACCTGATCAGATTTTGGTTTTAGAAACGCCAGATTGAATACAATGTGGAGAATGAATGGAAAGATGCAAGATTAAGACAAAGACAAAGTGAGACAGTTGTAATAACCCCGGTGATCTGAAGTAGAGTGACGGCTGTGGGAAAGGAAAGGGGGAGATATAAACAGCCGGCCCTTGAACAAGACGGGTTCACTTACACATGGATTTTTTTTTTTTTTGATAAACACAGTACAGTACTGTAAATGTGTTTTCTCTTACGATTTTATTAATAACACCTTTTCTCTGAAGAGTACAGTATATAATACATATACAAAATGTAATGATTAACTCTTTATGTTAAGGCTTCCAATCAACAGTAGGCTATTAGTAGTAAGTTTTGGGGGAGTCAAGAGTTACAGATTTTTGACCATACAGAGGGTGGGGCAGTTGATGCCCCTAACTCCTGCACTGTTCGAGGGATATTTAGGAGGATACTCACAGGATTGACTGGCTGTGGAGGTAATGAAGGGGGAAAAGTCAAGGACAACAGTTTTTAGCTATAGCAGTGGGGCAGATCTTGGTATTAACCCTTACATTAGGGAATAAATAAGGGCAGATTCAAGAGGAACAAAGAGTTCAGTGCTTATGGGACAAATGGGTAAAAATATCCAATAAGCAGCTAAATAAACAGGACTGAAATTTAAGAGATGATCTGGGTTCAAGATATAAATTTGGGATGATGATCATATGAATGGAAATGTGAGTTATAGGAGCTCATGAGGTCATGTAGGGAGAGTACATGATGAGTACTAGGATTTAAAGGTTGTATAAAAGGAAAGGAGGCTGATAATAAATGGCTGAGAAGCTGTGGCTACCTAAGCAAGAAGAAAATCAGGAGAGTATTAAGAGAGGTGATGGAAGACAGTGATTTGGGAAGAAACTGTTCTAATAACAAGAGTAAAAAGTATGGCACCAAATTAAAAAAAATATATTGGGGGTACCTGGGTGGCTCAGGTCATGATCCTGGGGTCCTGGGATGGAGCACCACATCAGGTTCCCTAATCATTGGGGAGCCTGCTTCTCTCTCTCCCTCTGCTCCCCCCCACCACCTGTGTTCTCTCTTGCTCACACTGTTCTCTCAAATAAATAAATAAAAATAAATAAAATTTAAAAATATTTTTCTCTGACAAATAAATAACAAAATTAACTTTGTCCGTCAAAATCCAGGGGATTCATATATTAAAATAGAAATCACATCTTCTTATATCGATAAACTGAAAGCAAGTATAGATGTATCAAGGAAATGCAAAAAAAGAAATAATTCCATGATTACTAACTAAACACTTAAACAGCAGAGAAATAAGCCTCCCCTTCCTCCAAACTTTCTATCCACGGCCTTTGGAATTTATCATTCAATGATAGCAGTACTAAACTGTCTTCCTAATAAAGCCCATGATAAGATCTGTTGGCATCAAAGCGATTGCTCCTCTCAAGCCTGATGTGTGAGACACCCAGAAAAAATACTTGGTGCTATGTCATGATAAGAACTTTCTCAAGTCCTGCCTAAGGGGCATGTGAGGCAGATGTGATCAGTGCACTGGGCTACAGCACTGGGTACTGGGCTACCATGGACTGTTGAGTTACTTCTACTGTCCTCCTCTTCCACCCACATTGTTAGGTTTCCTGACTGCTTAAATTCCTGACTAATACAAATTCTTCAAGGTATCTGTTTTGTTGCTGACTATGCTGAGCCAGCAAGAGCATTAGCTACAGGAAAGCATGTTTAGTTTAGCTTTTTTTTTTAAGATTTTATTTATTTGACATAGAGACAGTGAGAAACGGAACATAAGCAGGGGGAGTGGGAGAGGGAGAAGCAGGCTTCCCGCTGAGCAGGGAGCCGGATGCAGGACTCAGTCCTAGGACCCCGGGATCATTACCCAAAGCAAAGGCAAACACTGAACGGCTAAGCCACCCAGGCACCCCACATGTTTGGTTTCTTAAACCAGATCCTTTGGTGAGAAACACTGAAGCAGAAACAGAATTCTAAAGTAACTTTGCATACTTGGCAACTTCTAGCTATCTTTTGTTGGACTTAATATGACAATCATACAAGTTTCACACATTTTGCCCTGTAACTCCATCCTTAAAGACGAATAGAGTTAGGGTACAGATCAGGGATCAGCAAACATTTTCTGTAAAGTAACTATTTCAGGTTTTGTGGGCCATATGGTCTTCGTTGAAACTATTTATCTTTGCTGCTAAAACTGTGAAACCAGCCACAGACAATAAATAAATAAACGGGCTTGGCTATGTTCCAATAAAACTTTATCTACAAAAACAGGCAGCAGGCCAGATATGGACACCCCTGATATGGACAAGGGAGAAATGGATGAGGGAGGTCATTATCAGAGCCACCATACTGTGCTACTTCAGGGAATGCCATTCACACTATGGTCTATGGGAAACTGAGTATCCTTCCGAGTCATGTAGTGCACAGACATTCAAATTAGTTCTTCTATTGCAGATATTATTAAAAATCTTTGTGAAAAATTTAAAATATCATTAGTCCCTATATCAAGGGGTGGCAAACAATGGCCCATGGGTCAAGTTCAGCCCCTGCTTGTTTCTATAAACAGTTTAACCCGAACATTGCCACCCCTCATTTATTTACCTATGGTCTATGGCTACACTGTGTTCTAGAGGCAAAGCCGAATATTTGGAACAGAGACTGGAGGGCTTACAAAGCTGAAAATATTTATTGTCTGGCCTTTGTAGAAAAAGTTTGCTGACCTCTGGCTCTGTATCAAGCACTATGATATACTAGTAATATTAGCAAGAAATAAGGATAACGTTTTCATAAGGAAAAAATGTAATTTACTAAAATAAATTTAAAAAACTTTAAAAATAGCTTGGTAATAAGTAGAAACAAACAAAAGAGGAATCTGACTTTATACTTTTTCTAGGGTTGAGGTATATTTTTCAAGTAATTACATTTCACAAAGATACAGAAAATCATGATTTGTTAGCATTTAGAAATGAAATTATTTTTTATCTTTGTTACTAAGAAGGATGAATATTCATAAAGGACCTGTAATCAGTATTATAGGTCAGTTTAGTTCCATAACTACCTCCTCACAGCTGGCTAAAATTTTGGGCCACCTGCCAGAATCCTGACTAACCCTTTACTTTCACATTCTGACACATTTGTCATTTGATTTTTGTCAGATAGAAGCATAATTGAATAATTATTCCTTTTTGTAGGTGAAATTAACAAAGCGCTGATTGGACAAAGCACCCTCTTAACAGACCATTTATAAATTCATGGCTTTGACATCTGTGTCCTTCTCGATTCACTGCCCAGAATTCATTTGTCACTAGAACAGCTCACATGGTGAATAGATAAAGATGGGAAATCCTTTATCCCTTAGAAATACCTCACAAACTTTGGGACACTAAAGGGTAAGACTGAGATGCATAAAGAAATAATTCCTAGTAAGCACTGGCATCACTGCATGTATATAAATAACCAGAGAGTAAAAAGGTTTAGAATAAAAGGAGATAATAAGTCAAAATAAACCATTCTTTTCACAACACATGTCAACAATATGGAGAAGGATTTTAAACAGTCAATGACAAAATGATTGATATGTATAAAGGGAAGTATACTACTAAGCTACTAAATCAGCAAACATTCTGAAGTTGAATAAGCTTAAAAATCAATTTCCAATTTATATAATAAAGATATCTTCAAAAAATTCTTATTTGGAAATTGGAAACATTTTCACATCATTAACTTATAAGTAGTGACTAGGGCCAGCTTAGCTAGCTGCAATATACACTGAAAAATTATATACTGAAAAACAGTGAAAAATGATGCTATTACAATATCCCTGAACAAAATAAAAATAACAAATGTGAAAAACACAGATCTGAAGATGAGAAAGTAGACAGTGAATTATGGAAATACTAAAGGAAACCTCCAAGCACTATGAACGATGAGCAGTGACTGATTACACTGAGATAAACTGTGTGAAAGTCAAGTCTTAATAGCATGATACTTAAATTAATTTTAAAACTTATATAAAGTATAAACCTAACACTAATCTCATTTTACTAGCTATAGCTCATTTCACTATAAATCTGTAGTATACCAGATGTAACTCAGGAGGGGAATTAACCATTTTGAGCAATCATTTCATTTCGAAGCTTCTCATTTAATGATTCTGATTCTATAAAGCTAGATTATAATACTCATTTTACAGATAAGA